CTAGCTTTCAAGAACACATGACAAAAGGAAAAGGGAATGAGAACCAGTCATTTGGTTCTATTAGACATAAATCTCATCTTACATTTGTCTGGTCTTAAGTGAATGAATAATAAGAACCTTTGATGATATGACAAAACAAATTTCAAATAAAAATTATTAGGGACTCATTTTAATAGATGTCAGTTTCAGAAAGTTTCTTTTAAAAACAAAATTTTATTTCCAGTAAGCCACTCTCTCTCTCTCTCTCTCTGTCTCCTTCTCCTGAGGCACAGCTTAAATGTTTAAAGATTTTTTTTAAGATGTTTAAAGATTTTTAAACCACCTCAGAGCTCAGATTTCGAATGTTTAAGGATTTTTAAATGGCCTCAAGGTTCAGTTTTCAAGTGTTTAAAGATTTCTGTTAAAGGCACTGATTTGAAGAAATTTATCAACTAATGATTGAAGGCTCATACAGGAACTTAAGTTTGAAGAGAATATATATATATATAATTTTTTCTAAAAATTAATTTATTTTAAATGACTTTTAGATAATGAGAAGTGAAAGGGACCTATCCTCATCCACTAACATACAAAAATAAACTAAAATAGATTATCCTACTTTCACTCATTTAACCTGCATGAGCAGAGCATCTTCAAAGACTTTAATGTGTATCATTTAAATAGTGAATTGACAATTGGTACGGTCAGAGTTTGATGATGTTCTGATGAAGGTGAGCTAAACTTAATAAATCCATCATTTGAATATTTCTTCAGTTAGAGTAGTCCTCAAATCTTTCCCTGAAGTGTTTGTATGACAGTTAAATGCTTCAAGTCATGGCTCCAGTTACAAGCCACTAAAATGACAACTCAACTGCTTCTTAAAGTTTGACTAAGAATTTTTTGGGAGCAGCTAAGAAGGAATAGAGTCACCCTCCATGTAAGGTCCCAGGGCTGATGAATGCAAATTGGAAGAGGTGAACCCTCCTTTGAGGGTATAATTCAGCTCCAGGGTGTGTGTACATACACCAGATAGCTGCTTCGTCTCCCTGTCAGCTGAATTCCTTCTTGCATGAACAACCCACACAATTGCCCACGGCAGACCTGCACAATCCTCAATGTGACCGCTTAATGATGCTGCCATATCCAGGTTTTTGCTTCTACTCTGGGATTTCTGCTGGCATTTTCACTTGCAAAAATGGAAGCCCAGATGATTTCCAACAGTTCGACAGCCAAGCCTGGGTCTCATTAGCATGCTAGCGGCCTGAGTCAGAACAAGCATGGTCTCAGAAATGTTTCCTCCCACGCCTCCACAGGGATGTTGCATCGGGACTTACCGTGGTAATTCCAGCCACATGACCCAGGAGGGAGACCAGTCTGCGGGTGGAGCCCTGTTGTCGTTGGCGTCCAGGGTTCCTGCACTGCTGTAGTCCTCCTCAGGCTCCTGTTCTCTGACTTCCAAAGCTTTGAGGACCACCGAGGAGGATGTGCTTTTCAATAACGCAACGGCTTCACTCCGGCTGACCTCCGTTAGTTCAACGCCATTCACATTCAGCAAAATGTCACCTGATGGCCAGAGACACAGATGTCATCCTTGGGGTGGGGGTGGGGACGCCAGTGTCTGCTCCAACTGCCTGGGGTGTGGGATGTACAGCTGAAGCTCGCACAGCAAAATGGTTAATAATCAGTGTGCACAGTCCACGGTGCAAATAGAAAACTCACAAGGGAATCTCATTTTCTAGATTAGAAAAGGGGTTTTCTGAATGTGTCGGAGATGGTGAGGGGGGCACAGGGCAGGACAAGGTTCAGAGGCATTGTTCATGGAGTCCCTATGAGTTGTAGTCAACTTGATGTCCATAAATACAGCAACAGACAAAGCATACTTATTGATACCTGGCTCTAAATCGTAAATGAAGAAAGAAGAGAGAGAAAGAGGAACAAAAGAAGAGAAGAAAGAGAAAGGGAGAGGAGGGGGAGAGAGAGGGAGGGACGGATGCAAATGGGGGAGGGAGGGAGAGAGAGAGGGAGGGATGGAAGGAAATGGGGCAGGGAGGGACAGATGAAAATGGGGGGTGGAGGAAAAGAAGGAAATGGTGGAGAGATGGAGGGAGGGAAAAAAGGAAATGGGGAGGGAGGGTGAGAAAGAGGAAGGGAGAGAGGGAGGAAGGGAAAGAAGGAAATGGTGGAGGGAGAGAAGGAGGGAGAGAGGGAGGGATGGAAGGAAATGGGGAGGGAAAGAGGGAGGAAGGGAAAGAAGGAAATGGGGGAGGGACAGAGGGAAGGAAGAAAATGGGGAGGGAGGGGGAGGGAGGGAAGAAGAGAGAGGGAAGAAAGGAAATGGGGGAGGGAGGGAGGGAAGGAGGGAAAGAGGGAGAGAAAGAAAGAAAAAGGGGGGAGAGAAGGAAGGCAGGACCCAAGGAAACTAGGGAGAGGAGTGATGAGCTTTGTTCACTATTTAATGAAATAAAGCCTTTTCACTCATTTTGTTTATTATGTTAGCATAAAGGGGAACACCCCACGTCCCAGCACTTGCATAAGCTCAGCATATCGTCAACACTCAATAAACATGGATTGTGTGTGTGAATGAGAAACTTCCTGTGAGTGTTTGTCAGATAGTCTATAATGCTTATGAGAAATGGCCTTGGAACTATGTTCTCAAAGAGGTGGAAAATAGAAATATTAACACAACTTCTAGTCATTGCAAAGGTGGTAATTTTGCTGTTGTAGTTATGTGCCCTCGATTCACCTATACAACTCATAGCGACCGTATGTACAATAGCTCTGAACACTGTCCTATCCTGAGCCAATCTCACTGTCTCTGACACACCTACTCTCATGACTTCAGTTATAGTGTCAATCCACCTAAAGCATGGTCTTCCCCTCCTGTGCTGTCCCTCGACCCTTCTAAGTATGATATCCTTCTCCAAAGACCGATCGGTCCCTCCTGACCACATGCTCAGATTCTGTAGCCAGTATTAACTAAGCACCTTGAACATGTTAGACCTTTTCCAGTCATCATATCATATATCATATCATATCATCTGCTGGCTTGCATTCACTCTGTTGGTTGATCTCATTGTTCTCCACCCAGGCTCTCACAAAATAGCAAGAGATATTACATACATACATCCTTCCGCCGTCATTTTCTATATTTTATGTCCTTCCTTCCTTGAATATCATCTTTTTGATACAGAATAATCATAGCAAGAGTAAAAGGAGAGGAGAAGAGAGATAGAGAAAACCTTGCATCTTCTGTGACCTGAAAAGAACGTATCTCCCACCCCTTTCACCCAGTTTGGATGATGAAGCCATCATGCTACCTCCCTGCTGCTCCACCGCAAAGCAAAGGTATTGTAGATGCTTCTCATTCTGTCTTTTGAATCTGAACCCTCACCTTCATGGTAACTGGCCTGAGAAGCCGTCTGAGCTATGTCCCCTTGTGTGAGTTGACAATATTAAGGACACATATTTGTAGAGGAAAATTTGGCACTGCCTTCCTCAGCTAATTTAATCCAGGACACAGTTGGTTAAACCAGTGTAACACCGTTCACTCACACTCATGTAGAAATAGTCATTGAATCAAAATCTATGAAATAATTTCTGCTATCTAACCTACAGGTCGCTCTGGTGGCCTAGAGGCAAGAAGCTGTGCTGCCATCCCGAAGGCATGCGGTTTGAGGCCACCACCTGCTCCACAGGAGAAGGATGGGCAATCTTCTCCTGTGCAATTAATTGCCTCTGAAAACCAGCCAGAGCGTCAGCTATGGGTCAGTTACAACTCTATGGTACACAACAACAACATCTAACGTATGAAATGGAGCAATGATGGATTAGCTTCATTACTGGATCAATTAAATAAGTAATCACTTAGCATGAATGAATTTAAAATGAGGTCATTTAACTGAGACAATTTGCTCATAACTGCATCACCAGTAAGAGCAGTGACCCTCATGTCAGCTCTGCCTCACGGTGATCCTACGGGGCTCAAAGTAGAATTGTGCTCCATATGGGTATTAGTTGCTGATTCTTTGGAAGGAAATCACCAGATCTTTCTTTGAAAGCACTTCTGGGCAGACCTGAACTTCTGACCTTTTGCATAGCAGTGAGCATGTTAACTGCTTGCACCACCAAGGGATTTCTTAACTCTGTCTTCTCCCCGCCAGCTCCTGGAATTGTTTGAAAGCTCTTCTCTCACCAGCAGGCAGAGTGGTCCGGATCAAACCTTATGAACTAAGAAGAATGAAACCCAGTCTTGCAGCTTTACTTAAGTCACTGTCAGTGCTTCTGGACAGTTCATCCTTCTAGTCTCTTCATAATTTCAGGCAGAGTTACCTAATCAAGCAAGCTGCTAATTCTTCTATTCCCCCATCTCTTACTCCTAGTTCCATAAGTCTCTTTCCATTTTACCTGTTTTTATCCTTCCGTCTCTGCTTATGACTCCTCCAGGCTCAACACTGATGACATAGATGGGCAAATCCCACTCTCTATTAGATGCTCCTCCAGCCACCGTCATGCCCAGGGACTCGCTGGGGTCTTTTCGGACATTCACCACTTTCTCATGACAAGTGACTGTGGGGTGACTGTGGGGTAACTGAAAACATAAACAGAAAAGCAAACATGGTGGACTTACTCACACGAGGGCTTTCATGGCCTTAAAAAAGATCAAAGAGTAGTACACCCTTCAATCTGGATTACCCGTCAAGATCAAGAAAACAAAAAAAAAATCCTTACTGCTGGGCAAATAGGCAACATCATGATAGATGGAGAAGAATGAAGTTGTCACTGATTTATTTCTGAAAATGTTTTCATTTCTTCCATCATTGCACATTTTCTTCCCCTCCTCCCACAGCCCTCCCCACAATGCATCCCTTGTTCCAGATTGTTGTCACATATATAATGCCTAATCATATATTCTTTTGGGATAGTTCTTCCCCTCATCTGATCTAATGCAGCATTCATTATAAATCCATTTCTTCCCCCATTCTCTCCCTAACCCTCCCATGTCTGTTCTATTTTATAATAGTAGTGTTATGCCGTATTTGTCCTTTTGTGACAGAGATACTTCACTTAGCATAATGTCCTCCAGGCTCCCTCCCCCATGTTGTCTATGAAGTTGTCATCAATTTAATTTTACTTCAATCTATAATCAACACTCATGGAACAGCAGTCAAGAAATCAAAAGTTGATTTAGTTGGTGAATCTGCTGATGAAGATCTCTTTAAAGTGAGAAAGAGGAAGGATGTCAGCTTAAGTACTAAGGTGTGCTTCATCCAAGCATGATCTTTCAATTACTTCCTATGCATCTGAAAGTTGGACAATGAATAAGGATGACAGGAAAAAGAATGGGTGCCTTTGAATTGTGGTGATACACCAGATTACTGAGTTTCTCATGGACTGTCAAAAGAACAAGCAAGTCTGTCTTAGAGGAAGAGCAGCAAGGATGGTGAAACTTTATCTCGTATACTTTAGGAATGTTGTCAGGAGGAAACCGTCCTTCGAAAAAGACACCATGCTGGGAAAGCTAGAGCATTGGATAAAGAAAGGAAGACCCTCAACAAGATGGACTGACACACTGTTAGCATGGGCCCCACAGTATCAGAGGTGGTAGGGACCATGCAGGATAGAACAAGGTTTAGATCTGCTATTCTTATGGTCAATATGAGTCATAGTTGACTTGACAACAACAGGAACAATGACTTGATAACAGCTAACAACAACAGGAACAGCCTACAAAAACAACCCACATTGCATAAATGCATGATAAAGGTCCTCAGCATGATAGAGAAAGACACAGGCTGAGAGTACCCTCTCCCCAGCAGTTAGATTATCTCAAATCCTGTTGGCTGAGTCAGTGGAAAAGTACCTTTCTGAGGGGAGGCAGGAACAGGCTAGAGATCACTGGAGAAATAGGAAGCAGGCAAAGTGAACTACAGCCAATTTTTTTTTCAGATGACTCATTTATTCTTGAAAGTAAGTGAGTCAACACTTAGGAAAATTCTTGCCACCCATAAATCTCAGTATTTTTTACTATGTTAAAACACACACACACACACACACACACACACTACATTTCTATTAAAAAGTATAATTTTCATTCAGATGGGTGAATACTAATAACTCATCAAAGAAAAACAGTAATCAATTTCATAGATTCTATAGTCACCTAAATAGAATAAGAGGATATTGCATGATTTAAAATAATCTTTAATTGAAATTTAGAGTGTTTTCAGGGTTTGGTCCTCTCACCATGCCTGAGCAAGAATCTAAAAAATTGGACTTTATGACAACAAATATGACGTCAGAATTGAAGGAAGGCTCTTTAACAACCTCTCATATACTGATGATACAACCTTGCTTTCTGAAAGTGAAGAGGACTTGAAATACTGAAGAAGCACACAGACTACAGCCTTGAATATGGATTATATCTCAACAACAAGAAAACAAATATCTTCACCACTAGACCAATAGGCAACATCATGGTAAACAAAGAAAAAATTGGAATTGTCAAGGATCTAACTTTTCTTGGATCCACAATTAACAGCCATGGTAGCAGCACTAAAGAAATCAAGAGATATATTGCACTGGGGAAATCCACCCCGAAGACCACTTTAAAGTGCTAAGGATGTGTCAGTTTGAAGACTACGGTATGCCTGACAAGCGACATGATATTTTCAAAAGCCTCAATATACAAAAGCTTGACAATGCCAGAAGAATGAATAAATAAGTCCTGGAAGAGATAACAGTCACAATGTGCCTTAACATTAAAGATAGGAAATTTTGTTCCAACTTTTAACATAGCAGGCAGGACCAGCCCTTGTATAAGGACATTATGCTTGGTAGTCCAACAGGTCAGCTAAAAAGTCCCTCATTGAGACGGACTGACACAATGAGCTTAAACATAGCAATGGTTGTCAAGGCGGAACGGGACTGAGGTGAGTTTCATCCTGTTGTTCGTGGGATTTCTTTGAGTTGGAACTGACTTTAACCACATGTAACAACCATACAGGGCACTTAGCTTGGATTGAGCCAAGTTTATGTTGCTTAGATACTCATGCAAATGGTAAAGGTAAAGAACTACTTCTAATAAAAGTCAGACAGATGTAGACATTGGACTGACTTATTGGACAAGTTATTTAAAAAGAGACTATAAACTGGTGGCCTAAAAGCTGAATTACATTCACACATGAATTCTGCTTGATTCATAGTATTTTCTGGATTGATATGCCATTAACTTGGGGCATCTATGCCATGATTTTTTCAAATCCTTACTGTTGTGTGCTTTTGAGTCAGAACTGACTCGCTGCTGACCTTCCAGCAGGTTTTTAGAGGTAGTAAATAACACAGGAGGAGATTGCCCATTCTTCTCTGGAGCAAGGTACTGGATTTGAACTGCATGCCTTTGGGATTGCAGTGCAGCTTCTTACCACTAGGCCACCAGAGGTCAGTTGTTCCTACTCTCTAATTATTGTTTATTGTGTGCTGTCAAGTCACCTGTGACTCATGGGGACTCTATGTACAATAGTTCTGAAGCCTGCCCTGTCCTGAGCCAGTCTCACTGACTCTGACATACCTACCCCTACTGCCCTAGTTATTGTATCAATCCATCTTATCCAGGGTCTTCCTTTACTGCATTGTCCCTCCACCCTTTCAAGCATGGCATCCTTCTTCAAGAACTGGTCCCTCCTGGCCATGTAACCAAAGTAAGTGAGACAGGGCTTCAAAAGTACACGAATTTCACATATTTGATTGGCCTTCCAAGCCACTAGAGGTTTGATTTTGGGACTTTTGTGAAAATAAGCTAAACGTAACAGGGGAACGATTATATTAATTTACCAAAACTAGAGACCAGGCGAACCTCCTCTTGTTTCATTTCCCAGTGAATGAAAAACAGTCCTTAGAGAAAACTCTTTTCAAAGCTGACATCTATTTGATTTAGATTAGAATTTAGCTTCCAGCACACAGTCTGTAAAGTGAGGCTTCCAGTTTCCTCTAATATAGTTCTGTCTGTTGCCAGGAGGACAGACATCACTAAGAATCATGTAGCTGGGACTTTGAATTCTCAGGTTTCTTAGTCCAATAGTGTTTGTGTAGATGTCTGATGAGGTGCAGACATGGCACTTAGAAATGTCAAAGTGAGCAGACTCCCCGAGAGGTACCTCCCAGGAGGCACTGTGGACGTGGCCCTGGAGGCCCTCACCTTGGGAGTGTGACTCCGGTCCCCAGGCCCGGGTGAGCGGCTGCCGTTGATGCTCCAGCATGCTTCCTGAAAGATGTCTGGGCTCTGTTGTCGGACCTGGCGGGACACGATGAGGTGGACGCGCCTTTCACTGGCCTGCGGGACAAGACACAGGTTTCAGTAACTGTCAATCTATCATCACAGAAGTAAGCAGCAAGTCTGAAGGTGTGAGTTTGTCTTTGCATTTTCTTTTAATGGAAAAGCATAGCTCCTGTATTTGTTTACATCAATGCTCATTGTATAATTTGGCAAGAGCATATAAAGTACTTCCTTCATTATTAGAGTAGCCAGCAAGTAAGGTTAGCAACCAAAGGCAAAAGGTATGTGGGGCCTCACTTGTGCTTATTTACTAATCTGTGGTAACTATATTCATCTTTCCACCCACGCCCAACTATCATAAAGATTCTGCTTCCATCCATAGCTGGCATCTGTCTCTCTCTCACAGCATGTTCCTATGGAATAAAAATCCCTTTTATATAATCCCTGAGAGGGACAGAGTACCCAATAAGCAAAGTAAGCACATGCTGGCGTGTGCTTACTTACTAATCTCTAGTGAATAGTTTCACACTTTTATCTTATTTTTAGGATATCAAAGCTTGCCTTGCTTAACTGGTTATCTGTTCTTGATTCCCCTATTCCTTAAATTAGTCAGAGAACCATAGAAAAAAGTAGGTCTCGTAGAATGTCCTTGAAAAAGACACCATCAGACACTACTAAGTTATTTTTAATCAATGACTTTACTGTATGGCTGAAGGTCCTTCTGGATTGAATAAGGTATACAGAGTAATGTAGCAGCCCAGCTAAATGGTTCCAAGGACAAGGTCATTGTTGTTGTTGTTGTTATGTGCCGTCGAGTCGCTTG